GTGACACTCGGTACGTTGTCAAATCTATTTAGGTACCTCAATTTGTACCACGAAAATTTTCAACATAAATCCTGTCGATGAAAAGAACAAGGACGGACTATGAATACATACTTAGTATTAACGCAAATCTTATATTCTTAAATAAATAGGCAAAGATGGTTTCTATACATCCCTTTTATGGCCGAGCTATACTACTAGGGTACAAGGAATTATATATCATTCGAAAGGTATTTTGATGCTGAAGGGAAGCAAATTAGTCGAAATTCAAAATAATTTAATATAAAGCGTTAAATAAAATCAGAAATTAATAATACAAATGCCAAAATATGTAAATATCGATGGCGGATATGGCCCCTAAATGTATGCTTTAATATTTATACTGAATTTAAGTAACGTTTACGAATAACATTTAGACAAAAATTAAAAATGTAAATACTTAGATGAAGAAAGATAGAGTTAGAGATAGAGAGGGATAGAGATAAAAATAAAGATAGAAATACAAAGATAAAGTTGAAGAAAAAACTGAAAATTAATATATTTTGCATTATGTTATGTTGTTCACCTCAATTCACCTCAACTCAACTCCACTGACTTCCCCTCCCCCACCTTAGCTCACCTCAATTCACCTCATCTCACTTCAACTCATCTAAACTCCCCTCACCTCACTTTACCTACCTCACCTCACGCACCTCACCCTACCTTAACTCACCTCAACTCACTTCAAATCAATTCTTCGCGGCTCACCTTGACTCGCCTTAAAAGTCCTCAACTCATCCTGATTCACCTCAACGCGCCTCACCTTAATGTACTTCAATTCACTTCAACTCACCTCAACTCGCCCTAAATCACCTCAATTCACCATAGCTTATCTTAATTTACCGCAACCCAAGTGTAATTATTATTACTTTTGTATAGAAACCGGGTTTACGAGGTTTAAGTCTGTGTTAACCGAAATGAAACAAAAACAAGTAAGAAAGTCCAAGTTCGGGCGGAGCCGAACATTAAATACCCGGCGCAAGTATTAAATATATGTTTTTTCACCCTTCCGAAACCTTCCGCTAGATGGTAAGCCGAGGTGTATCAATTTTGAGTAAATTAGCGTCCTTCAATTTCGAAATATTGAAGTTTCAAGCATTTCTTAAATTTACCGTTATATGAGAATCGGCCGTTATTTTAGTCCGATTTCAATAATTTTCAACGTTTTGCTTACACGTGGCAAGTACAATAACCATACCGAGTTTGGTACAAATTGGTAGAACGGTTACCGATACTTATATGTGATCATAAGTGGGCGGTGCCACGCCCATTTTCCAAAATTTTACCATAAACGTATTTCTTGGTAAAGAATTGTTGCAAGCATCAATTTTGAATAAATTAGCTTCAATATTTAATGATTTATCGATTATTTTGTATTTCTCTAAATTACCGTTATATGGGATGTGGGCGTGGTTATTGTCCGATTTTAAGAAGTTTCGGCGGTTTTTTATGCTGTACCAAGGCCAACAACTGTGCCAAGTTTGGAAGAAATTGGTGCAGCGGTTACCAAGATATACACATGTAACCATAAGTGGGCGTGGCTACGCCCATTTTCCAAAAATTTATAATATTCTTATTTTTCGTCTAAAACTTATTATAAATATCAATTTTGAGTGAATAATCTCCAGTAGTTACTAAAATATCGCAGTTTTCGTATTTCTGGAAATTACCGTTATATGGGAAGTGGGCGTGGTTAAAGTCCGATTTCGCCCATTTTCAATACCAACCTACCTTGGATTAAGGGAAACCTACATACCAAATTTCGTTGAGATATCTCAATTTTTGCTCGAGTTATCGTGTACACGGACGGACGGACAGACGGACAGACGGACGGACAGACAGACATGGCTTAATCGATTTCTTTTTTCATCTTGATCATTTATGTATACATTTGTCTATATCTATCTCGATTCGTTTTGGCTGTTACAAACAACCGTTATGTGAACAAAATTAATATACCCTTGTGCACAAGTGCGCTCGGGTATAAAAATGGTAAAAATATTGAAAGAGTATCTCTATCAGGTATGCTTGTACTGTATAGAGTGCGGACACCGATTTTGTTATGAGGATCATTTCGCCTACTACAGCAACAAGCTTGGCACTAGATGGAATGAGAACAAGCATCAGTTCTATGAAAAAAGTCCGTGTGTCAAGATTTGTGCATGCTCAACGACATTTCAACTGAACATAACCTCAAAAGGTATTCAAATCAGATGACGTTTTTTCACAAAAATTCGCTTACAAAAATTGCAATTTATAAGGCAACCGCAAAAAATAGATCCGCGTAATTGGGCTAATCACCTCTTACTCATTTTAAATTCAGCAAAATCCATAGGAAATAAAATTGACAACACAGTGATTTGTATGTCAATTAAAACAGAGTCAGCCCACATGAAGAAGATAGCCACAAAACAAAAAAGGAAAAATTTAAGAATAAAGTAAAAGTACTCAGTAAATGTCGCGATAAATCCAAGTACTACTAGAATGAAGAAACGTGAGAACGAGCAAATATAGCAGACAACTTCAGGAAAACCCAAAAAAGTGAGTAGAATCGAATGTAGAGAAAGGTATCACGTATGAAAATCAGAAAGAACGAAGTAACTTGTACAGTAAATAGTAAGGAGAAACGCAGTAGTAGAACACACAAATTTACGCACGTAAATCTAGTTGATTAGAATGCAATGCAACATGCGCGCCACGCACCAATAAATCGCCGCCGCTGCCATAGCCGCTGTCGTCACACCATAATAATAATCATAAATACAAAAATTAAATAAACCGCAAAAATAAATTCATAATTGAAGGTTAACGTTAAGTACAGTAGCGAAAAGGCAAGAGAAAAAAATTGTATTGGTCGGCAACAACGGCCGCTTGGAACATTTTGACAAATCGAGAAAAGTTCACCTGACTTCGTAGCAGATTTGTGTACAAAGTCAATGAATGCCTCTGTAAAAATGGCATTTCGACAACCATCATAAATGTCAGTGTTGCAGTGGTAACGATTGAAAAATGCCAACTAAAAAACCATAAAATTGATTAATTACGGGCACGTTGCAGGCAAACGGAAATAGGGTGACTTGGCGTATGGCGCATTGAAGCAGCACCAGTTCAAGGAACCAACAGGAAGCGGAGATTTGGTAAAAAAAACGGAAGCGTGTAAAATACGAATTGATATACATATGTACATACATACTTACGTACAGGCAGGAAGAACTGCTGAATAAATGACGAATTTAATGAAGACCTTATCTGAGTTGGTTTCGAACCATTCGACGACTGACTCATTTCTGACATGAAAAGTTCACAACAATTATCTTCGGCTCCCTCAAATTGTAATCGAAGCAGGTCCACCTTGAACGTTTCAAATTGTTGAGTTGTTTCTGCAACTGATGAAAATATCAACTCGGCACCAATGGGTAGACAACGAAAGAAAGGGCGCCGACGAGCACAATGGAAGGAACCAAGTGCAGTAGGACCTGGCTCAACCTTGCAATGGCGAACGTTTGTAGAACCAAACAAGAGACATGTTTGAAAGTCATTTGAAGTCTGATTTTGTGGTTACACTGTGATCGTTGTTCACAGTTATGTTTAAATTATCGTATTCAAATAAGAGTGCTATTTTTGCTATACGTATTACTGGTACACCCGGCGAACTTCGGTTCGCCCAAAATCATTTTTTCCTTACATTTTGGTCCAACATTTTCAATTGCAGTCCAGGTTCACATGACTTCCAGAACCAAAGCGTTGTGCCCGTGAAGAAGCTGTTGTAATTCTAATTATTTGGCTTTTCGCAGCATGATGCAGATCGTGATTGCCGTATCATTCGACCGTATGCATAAAAATTAAGCATTTCCTTTTACTTAAAATTTCATACCTTTTATTCGCTACAGCGGTGGAAATATTTTACTTAATATATATATTTAATTAAATTAAATTTTGAACATATGGCAACCCTGTTCAAAAGCTTGTATTTCTTTTGCCGAGAGCGGTGAAGCTATCTCTTAAAATAGCGTTTTACTCATTAAAGTTGATACGAGTATTATGGAAGATATGGAGCTGCATTGACCGGATAGTGCTTTTAGCTCTTTAAAAACACTTTTTTTAAGAAATAACTAAATTTGAACAAAGCGCCTATTTTTCGCAACTGTGTGGGCTACCCCTCTTCAATCATTGAATATGATAAAATAAGTATGTAGACTTATATTTTTTTATTCATCGCATCACAGAAATGAAAATTAACGAAATTCTACGGTTTATTGAACAGTTCTCTATTGCTTAGTAATCGTTTACTCAGCCTAAAAGCTCAAATGATTATTCCTCTTCTGAATTATGCCAAAACTAAGACATACTACTTACATAAGTTTGTATGCAGATCGTTTGGCCAAAACCTAATTCCAGCCAGGGATCTTCAGCCCTAGACAATCTCGTCTATGACAATTCAAAACGCATTGTTATTTATTTGGTTCTGTCATCATAGACTGTCTCCTAAATAGCTTCTTTCAAATATTTCTTTGGGAACAATTTCGATTGTTTTCAGGTTATTCATCCTCCGTCCTGCAAGTCGCCTTTTTTATGTTCTCTGACTGAGCTATCACATTGCGGTTTTATGACTGTACTCCAGTCATAAATAAGCAACCAAAATCCAAAACAAAATTCAAAAAAGCGCTTTTGAATGCAATTAAAATTCTTAATACTTTCAGCATTGTTGTTGGTGATCATTATATACGCACACTGACTAACTACCGATATAACTGACTTTTTGGTCACACTTTAGCTATGCCTATGAGTTATTGTAAGCTTCCATCTTTACCTGTGAGTAAAACAAAACTTCCATTTTACACAGACAAAAAACGCACGTAACGCACGCTCCGAATCAGTAGCTAATAATGAATTACCTTCAATGTATGCACGTACATACATACATATGCACATTCATATGTACATATGTATATCTTACCATTTTATTTAGGCACCAATGACGAAATAAACATTTTTTCGCACTACCAAACAAGTCCAAATATGTAATTTATACCCCTGCCAGTTACCGGCAGAGAACCCGGCGTGTTAATGACGTTAGGGTCGTTAATATTTCCGCTTTGCCGCATTACAATTGTCAACACTCACCGGACGGATGACAAAAAAGCAGAAACAAATAGGTGACTAATTGAACTGAGTGAGCTGGGCGGTTGAGTTAGTAGGTAACGCGTGGCTTCGTTTACTGAAATGGATTTTTGCATAAAAACAGAGAATGTGCATATGTAAATACCAAAAACAAAGCCATTTAAAACTAAGCAAATGAATTTGCAAAAAAATATGCTTGATATGCGCATGACTTGCCAATGAATCATCAATTACCAAACAGTATGGGAATTCGAATGCTTAAATTGTATACGCTTCATGTTTCTTGAAACAAAAGTAAACATTGAGAAATGGGCAATAATTAAGTAGTCTAAAAGTTGATGTAAAGCAAATGAAGATTGGCGAATTAAGCGTGAGAAAAATCGTACAGTTTGAAATGAAGCAGAAGATCAGGTCAGGTTGCGATACATTTGAGGATTTCTCTCTAAGTGGTCATTGTTATTTCAAAGATATAAAAGAAAATAATTCATATATAATTCACACAGGCCTCGAAACTATTTAGAAAATACGCTTTGGGTAATGCGCAGAATCTTCTGGTGTTCCTGAGTACACACGGCTATACTCAAAAAATAACAAAAACAAAAAAGGTCTGAGTCTACAACATTACTGATAAGCGCCGCAAATGAGACCATGGTTCCGATATATCAATATTCACCGGGAGCACCTGATGCTTCCATAGTAAAAGTACTTCAATCAACTTTTCAATGTCCTCCAGTCCATTTCAGACCGAGCTGTATTCCTTTAGTCGGATTCGGGTCAAAAGTGAAGAAACCCTGCCTATATAAAAATACCTCCATTACGGATACCACGTTCGACGGTTAGACTGAGATCATGCTAGAATGAAGAAATAGTTGTTTTACCCATTGAAAAAGAATCCTAAAATATTTCTTTGTGGCTGGCGATCCTAAGCTCTCTAAGGCGAGAGTCTAAGGTATACTTAAGCTTGAGTATAGATATTCGTTCGTCGATTGCTGATCGAAGACGGAATAGATCGCCCATCTTAGCAGCTAACCTTAGCACTTAGTCAAACTAAAGGAGTATCTAGAAGTTTTTTAGCGCGATTTATGATAAGGTTATCAGAAGAACTGCAAGCAAAGCGATCATACCGTCTAAAGTTTTACGACAGACCCGACGGCACGCAGTGGTTCCTAACTGGAATTTTCTGTTCAAAACAGTCCAGCAGCCGGATTCCAACATACGCTATCGCTAATTTTGATCCCCAAAAATATTCAAAATTATAACAGGCGCGCCTGAAAACATGCAATATCTACATAGTTACAAGCCCCTCTTGCTGCCACATTTGGCTTACTACACATTGTATCTGCTACTGTTCCATGTTGTATACTTTCAGGAAACACTGCTTTTTATTTATATAATTTTGGCTATGAAAATTTTCGTAACGTTTGTCAGAATTCCACTGCAGAGCCTTCATTTTTCAACCCATTTGATTTTTAAATTTTTATTGGTTTATATTAAATTTGTTAGTGCAAGGGGCAAAGAAAGTAGTAATCTTGAAGGGAAGAGATTCTGCTGTACTTGCTGCATAAATCTCGTCTAATTTTTTTAGACCTTCATTTAAAAAAATAATAATGAAATCGGTTGAAAAGTTAAGGGTCTGTACTATTTTCAACAGTAAATTTCAGTTTGAGACCACTGTGTGCCGTCGGGCTCGGTGTTAAAATATATGTCATACACGTTAAGAATCAGAAGAGCTCAGCCGAAAACCCTCAAAATTTGTGCCCGCCAAATATACTTTCCCCCAGGGTTTCTTCAAAATAAGCGCTTCGTCTTGGCACTTTACGCGTAAAGAGAGCGTAACGAGTATTATATGCTCACAACTGTCATGTCGCGATTGAATAAAAGTTATAGCTACATATTTACAAAGTTACTTAATAATCTGGTCTTAAAATAACTCCGATTTTCATTTGCGGGTTAACATTCATACAACTTTGTCGCCAAGTACAATACGAATTAATCTTCTATCTTTCAACCTAATGTAATATGTACTGACGTCAGGCGTGATGGCACATCGTGATATAACAGCAAATAAAATAAATTTCATTTATACTCAGCAGCTTTTTTCTCTATTTTTTTTCATAAGCATAGGTATCAAACTTGAATATCTAAACTTCGAGCTGAATATTCTAGAGCATTGCAAAAAAAACCATAAAAACTTTGTAAAAAAGAAAGATTTTTAAAATGTTGCATCACTTACATGAAGAATATAAAAAATTCAAAGCAGGCGATGACAGCAGCACAAAAAACGCGCAAACTTTGCAATGCGCTACTTGCAGCATCTAATTTTCATTTAAATCGCTCGATCCCTGTAAGCTATTTATTGACGTCGATTGATTTCTTGCTAATTTTTTCTTTTCATTTTTCTTATTTTTTGCCCACAGGGCGCATCAGAAAGTCCATGCACGTACGTGTATCGCGACGCAGACTGGGATATCAGTTGCTGCAAAGCAAAGCGGTCATACCTTTGTATAGCTCTGTAAGCTTTAATAAAGCAAAATTACATACATATGTACTATGTACATACGTCAATCAACACAATTCGAAATATCGTAGCTAACTGGTGACAGCACAAAATCAACAACAATTTATCGCAAATATCTAAAATTTACACGTAATGTGTGGCAGTTAAGAACCAATAAATCTCAAAAGACACAAAAAAAATATGCAATGAAATCTATTAATTGACAGTCAAGTCGAAGAAGAAAGCGTGCTGCACGTCACATACGCCCGAGGGAATGAAATTCAACAACGCAATTTGTGGTAAGCCGCAGACAAACCAAAGGAAAAAGAAGAAGTTTAAAAGCTTGTTTCCTGGCGAGCAGTGCTGGGAAGCACATTTTTTACGCCAAAAAAAAAATTGCAAACATTAAAAAATAAAGTACAACGAACTCCTCAACTTCATGAAAATGCACACAATCGAAAAACGGTAGCAGTAAATTATCGATAATTATGTGAGGCTCAGTAAACGACTGCCCAGAGCCATCGAAGGATTTCAAATTACCTATAAAAAGAAGCATTGCTAAAAACCCTAATTAGAGGCATGGAGATAAAACGCTTATTGAACAAAATATGCAAAAACCAAGAACATTGTGTTAGTAAGAAGAAGAGCGAAGAAAACCACACACAACTCCATTGACGTTTGCTGATGGGGGGGAAAAAAAGCAAGGCTAAAAACACCAAACAATTTAAGAATCAGAGCACGATACGCAACCGCAAATTGAATGCCACAAACGTTAATAAGAAAACAACAAAATGATTACTATAATTACGATGACAACAAAAAGAAATACAATGCTTGGGAATACCCAGCGTGTGAGTATGGAAAATATAGATACATATGTATGTACGTATGTATTTACGTGGGAACTGAAATTGCGCAGGAAGAGATTAAGAGCACATTGGAGACAACGTGAAATGTGAAAATTTGCCTTAAGGACTTTGGTTGGTACTGGAACTGTTTGGAGGCTTTGCAATAATTTATGTGACTTGATTTCGAACTCAAAAGCAATGGTTTATGCATGATTTGTACTTTTAATACCTTGATTGCAACAACAAATTTAGTGATTTTTTATGCTCTTTAAGAGTTATTTAGCTTTTTTGATGCTTGACAAATGTAAAGTAGAGTTTGGAGAGTTTTTAGAAAACGTATAAATGCGCAAAAGACGGGTTTACAAAGCTTTTACTAAGTTTTATTGTTATTTTGGCAGCATAAACTAATGAATTAAAATTTTGGAGACTTTAAAAAACTTTTAAAAGCATATTTTATGTTATATATTTGCGTTTTACTAAATTGTTTAGCTTCTTTGATCATAAAAACCCTAATGCACACTTTGGAGACTTTCAAATTTGTAGATAAAAAAATATAAATGGGCACAGCTTTACAAAGCTTTTTACTAAGTTTTATTGTTATTTTGGCAGCATAAACTAATGAATTAAAATTTTGGAGACTTAAAAAACTTTTAAAAGCATATTTTATGTTTGCGTTTTATTAAATTGTTTAGTTTTTTCGGCAATAAAAAACCTAGTACAGGCTTTGGAGACTTTTAAATTTTTAGACAAAAAATAAGTATAAGAATTTAGCACATCTTTTCACAATAATTTATATTTTCATGTATGAATACTACAATTTAAATTCGTAACATTAAGGTCACATTAAATGAGAAATTATCACTTCTACATAATATAAACGGACTTAAAGCATTTATAGCAATAAAATTTACTTCAGCACCGTAAAAATCAGTTTAATCCCATAATTCTTTCATGTTGTTTGATATTTAATTTAGCGCTCCAAGCTTGTTAACAATTTAACGCGAAAACTGATTTACAAGTGATTTCATAACAAGATTGTTAAATGATTCCTTTTTGACATACAAATTGGTTTTAATTGCAGTTTTTACTTACGAGAGCCGCCAAGTGAGGAAACGTTATAGAAATTAAAGTAATTCGAAGCAGTTCGTAGAGTTTTACATGACAACCTACGTATGTATGTATGTGTATATACATATGTACATATGAAATACATACACCCATGGCCAAAATAATAGAAACGAATTTGAACTTACTATTTTTTATAAAAGTGCATTCTCTAACAAAACCCATATAAATTCATATTTCAAACTTTGTGCATAAATTATAAGAATTTTGCAAAGTTGGATCTAAAATTTCATCTTTTTAATCAGATTTTTTTTTTGTTTAATTTTTCAGAGTATGCAATTTTATAGCCCATTACATTTTAGTAAAATTAAGTGCAAGTTTTAAGTTGCTACAAAATCGTATGGAAGAAAATGTGTGAAAAAATTGCCAAAAATCCACGTAATGTTTTAGAACCGAAAACTTACTTTAATATACTAAAATTTAATTAACCAAAAAACTGCACACTCAAACAAATTAAAAAAAAAAAAAATCTATTAAAAACTGAAAATTTAGCTGCAACGGCAGAATTTTTCATTATTTTTGCACGAAATTTGAAATATTAATTTACATATTTGGGTTTGGTGCGATAATGAGCTGCCATTTTATATAGAAAAAAAATATTATTAAATAAACAAAAGAAATATAGCC